GAGCCTTGACAGATTTTGACAACAGCGATTTAGCTTTTTTAAAACCCGAGCATTTACAACAAACACTTAAGCTTAAGTTAATTCAAGCAGACACACAGGAGCGAAAAGTTTGCAGCAAACATTATATTTCGCCGAGATAGGTAGGTACATAAGCTTATATTTAAGCTCACTTCTCAGAGTTAAAAATAATTGTACACTGTAGTAGGATGCAAGGTTGGTAGCATAAGCACTTCACTGACTTCTAATCAGGGCATTGTAATGGTTTCTTTGGTTCTTGAAGCAATAAAGGAAAAATTATCGTGCACCATACAATACCTGCGTTTACTTTACGGAGCATCCCTATAAAGGGCTTTCCAGCATCAGTATCAAAAGTTTAACATACAGAAAATTCTTTTCTAGTTGACACAACTCTACCTAAGACTCAACTTATTGATTTTTAATGAAAACAGAGAGCCAGATTTATAAAGCACTCTTGGGTCAATGTGTGATCCAAGTATTGTTGGAATGTAAAACCTACAAAACAATATTTACGATTTAAAATAAAAAAAACAAACAAACAAACAAAAAGTTAATTACTTCATGAATCTGAATGTCAGAAAAAAAATGTATCATTCAATGAAAATGAAAGAAAATAAATGTTTACTTAGTATTTTATCACAGATATCTGGTATAACATCTTTTTGTGTGTGTGCTAGAAAAACTGTCCCATCCAGAAGGCAAATGGCTTAAATCTCAAAATGAAAGGAGCCAGTCACAGTTCACTGATATGTACATGGTTCTTGAGTTCAGCTGCCTCCCACAGCCAATACTTAACTACGAAAAGACCTTGGTCTACAGACAAGAAGACAGAAGTACAAAAACAAAATTTGTTTAATAAGGGAAACCATAAACGTGAGATCACATGTTGCTAATAATCATCAACTGGAATTAAATTAGTAAGTCTAAGCCAGCAATTTTTTTTGTATTTCCACTTTGTGCCCAACTTAGAAAACAGAAAAATTTGTCATGGATCATAACAAAATTATTGTCCAATCAATGATCGTAGACAGAAGATGAATCTACTTTGCATTAATAAAAGGAGGTAATACCAATAAAAGTTATGATAGAAGTTTCAGTGTTACTGTATACTCCGAGAGCAGAAATGTACAATGTTACACCCAAAATTTGCAGAATAGAAAGTTCACGCTCTTCATCAAGGAAGAAATTTTTTTGCATGCCAAGCACAATCTGGTCCACAAGTTCCGTAGCAAGTACCACTTGGCATATGTGCACTACAGTTGTGGATGTGCAAAGTCACAACAAAATGGAAGTAGTTGATTTGGGAGATAATATCACTGAGAGTCACCGCAATGTTCACGTGACCATGGAGGGTGACACAGTCTGACCTTGTCAAGGGGGTATTGACATTCTGCATCTCCTTGGTTTTGCATCGGTTGAAAGAGGAAATTATCACTGCCAAACTTCATAGGACATGAAATGGTTTGTGCTGCTGAGGTGTGGCACATAATTTTCAGAACCACCTTGAAGTTTTCACAGGGAAAAAGATTGAAATCCTTCACTCTATTTTTAGACGGTAGCTAATTTTGGAACTGTGTAGGAAAATCAAATTTTCAAAAGAGGAGGCTTAAGAAGCAATAAATTGCCTCAAAACTGTAACAAAATCATTAAACCTGTGGTAAATTGTTGAAATTAACTCAAGAAAAAATTCAAAAAAAATTCTGTCAAAATAATCATGGTTAATAATCTTTTTTATTTTTTCGTTTTCGAATTCCTAAGTAATGAAGACATTGCATGGTCAGGTGCTATGGCCACTGGTATGGAGTTTTATTGAAAGGTGGAAACATTACAAACATGTAT